TTTTTTTTCGGCCCATTCAATGTCTGGCCCGAAATTTTAGGGCGGAGTATGGGTTGGGCCTATAATAACCTGAACACCTAAACCCAACTCGCGCTCTAACTTGCCTCCTCTAATATCTAACCATAGGCAGGCAATTAATTTCTACTCTTTAGTTTCTTTATGTTTGAATTAAGCCTTTATATTTACTTTATGTTAAGACTAATTTATGAGTGTAGACTAATTTATGTTTACTTTATAGTTGATGTTGGATGGACTACTTTGCTTCATGTTTGATGTTGGATTAAATTTTAAATTTCTATCTATTTGAATCTTCGAGTTATTATGTAATACCCGAGATTTAATTAAGCCTTTAGCCAATAATAAATAAATTTTATAAATTAAAATCATGCACTACATTTACCATTTACGTCAAAGTTATTTGTTGGCATTATATTTTATTATTTTAGCTATCATATGATTTTATTAAACTTATAGCTTTGCTAATCGAGTTTTCAGTTTTAATATGCAGTGTAACTAGCTCGATGTAGGAACTCAATGTGCTAAACTTATGAAGAAAAATGATATTTATTATGATTATTTGATATGATATTTTACATCTATTATGATTGATTTAATGATGAATCATTATTTTATATTTTTATTATATGGTTTTATGTAAATGTGTTGAGGACTTAGTTGCTAATTTGAGTTTTTGTGAGAGAAGGCTATGTTAGCAAATTGAGTGAACTTTAGGCACCTAAATGAAGAAGAAAAATAGAGACTTTAGAGCTGATTTTATGAGGTTATGACAACTATTAGAGGCTTAGAAAAACTTAGACACTTATTCTATTATAAAGTTACTTTACTTTTGCTTGGTTTATACCAAGTTTAGACTTCATTTTTGGGTCTATTTTAGCAAAAAACCCTAGAACTCCGACCATAGCACTTTCTTCTCTCTTCTCACTCCTTTTCTCACCCAAAACTCAGAATCAAACCTAGGTTTTTAAGAGAGAAAGAGCTAAAAACTCAACCAGCCCATCTTAACTCGTTTTAAACCTAGAACCAAAAATAATCACCAAGTTTTGAGCTTCTATTCACTTGGGAACACGTTTTTCTTTGAGGTAACTTCTTTCTTATGTTAGGAACTAAGATTTCAGAGATTAAGATGTTGAAATCCTACTTGAGATTCGGATTTTTGATGGGGTTTATCATGCATGTTGGTTGTGGACTCTTAAAAATGAGTTTCTTGAGGTTTTGGTTTAAATATTAGTTTCTGGGTGAAATTGATGATTTTAGCTTGATATTATTGATGATTATTTGAAGATAAAATCTTATTAAGATGATGATTCATGTATTTAAGAGTGGTCTTTGAAGATTAAGATCTGCATGCTAGGTATTTGATGAAATGTTTAAATATAAGTCCTCTGTACAGCCTATGTAGATTCTGTTTCCATGCTATATATACTTATGATTTTGATAGATCTTATATTTTTCTATTAAATTATACATCTCAAGCTTTATGTGGGTTTTTGAATCACTCCAAACGGATTTTTCTACATTTAGTTATGAATTTTATAAGTTCAGTTAAAAAGCTTTCATTTTCCTGACGATATTATACTTCAATCTGAATTTTGGGCTGTTTTTGGTTAGTTTAAAAAATTCGAAACATATCATGTAGTAGCTCTAAAAAGAGAGTTTTAAGTTTACTTTTATTTGCCACTGGTCTCATAATATTTTGAGTTTTGATGAATTTGTTATGAATATTTTCGTAACATTGCGCAGTTATGTGTTTTGTTAAATGATGATATGAATGTGATTTTTGAAAGCTATAGTTTTTAAAAGTTAATTAGCACATTGAAGGCTCCCCACAACCAGCTAGTTTGTGCTTGCAAAGTGGTGATCAAAATGTAGGTAAGTAGAGTTAAAAATATTTCAAAACTGCATCACAAGACCCTATATGATTATGTTCAAAGAGTATTCATGATTAATTATTTTGAAAGATATTATGATATTTGCTTATTATATTTTTATGCTTTAAGAGATTTTATGGTATGATATATGGATGAGAGGCTGGATAAGCAAGGGTGCGAGAGACCGGTGCCCCAAATTAGAGAAAATGTCTCTTTGAGACAACTAGAGAAAAATACTAGTGGGAAGTCTCTTGTTGATCACAAGAAAAAGAGATTCTAAAAACCCCGCTTAGTGTTTAAGAGAAGAGAATTGGCCAAAATTAGAGAAGGTCCTGTATAGAGAGGCTTACTTGGAACCGAAGTTCTGTATCATACCTAAACTAAGAATAAGTATGAAAGTTTATGAACAATGATTAACAAAGAGATTTTAGCCACAGAGATTTTAGATACTTACTTTATTTGAAATCTACTTACTAAGTTTTTGCTCATTAGTTTTACCTTGTGATGCAGATGATGTTGTTGTTACCGAAGAGTAAAAAGAAAAATGATTTCCAAGGTTGGCTGAGTACTCCAAGTCTTACATCTGGCATCTTGCTTATATGTACTTCCAAACAATAGATGGGCTCAAAATGTTTTGTTTTGTTACTATGTCACTTTTGAATAACTATTTAATGTTTAAGATTTGTGGTTGCGCACTTACTCATTTTGTTCAAAAACTTTTAGGAAAATTTTGTAATGAAATCAACCGCAAGTTTCCGCATCTTAAAAATGACATTGTTTTAAGTATAGAAAGTATGTTTTAAGTAGCACTACCTCGCTAAATTCGGCCTTAGACCGGTTTAGCGATGGGGGCGTTACATATTATTTCTATTTGATGATGAACTTTGAATGTTGGATTGAACTTTAAGTTTTTGATTATTTAAATGTTGAAACCGACCACGCAACCCACCTCGTACCGCCCCCAATCCAATTCAAACATTATTGGATTGTGAAAATTTTCTAACATCGTTAGGGTCAAATATATACAACCCGTACTTTTTAGGGCGAGGAAAGAAAAAATTCTACCTCGCACCAATCCAACCCATGAACAACCGTAGTTTTTGCGTTGCTTTTTTCTCCTCTCTCCCCGGTTCTTGGCTTTCGTGCTTTTACTCCTTTTTTGCGTTAGTGTAAGCATTTAGTGTATTCTAATAATAATATAAAACACCCCTAAAAATAACTAATGGAGATAGTAAAAAAAAAAATTATTATCACTAGTGCGTTTAAATTTGAGAGTCATTTTTAGCTTGTACCTTGAATTTTAAAAGCTTATTTTATTTCTTGAATTTTAAACGGTTCTCATTTAATTTCTTTTATTATAATTTTTATTAAAATCATAAAAAAATAAGAATTTAAGTGTGACAATGTGGTTTTTATTTGTTTTTTAATAGAAATTTAAACAAAAAATCAGGTGACTGCATTACTCTTTTTTTTTATTTGTTTTCAACATAAATTACTACAAAAAGGATTAAGTGGGAAAAATTCAAAATTTATGGGGTAAAGTGAGAGTTTTTAAAGTTTCATGAGTAAACTGAGAATGATCCTAAAGTTCAGGGACATCAGTGATAATAATCTAAAAAAAAAGATTATTTTTCTTACCGGTAGGATCAGTTTTCTCACAGTTAAATCTGATTAAATCAAATTAGACAGATAATTTTTAATATAAATCTAACGGCTAAAAATAAAACTACCAGTAGGTTTTATTTTTTTTGGTGTCACAGGAGAAACTCTAAAAAATAAACACTTATACAGAAGAAAGCAAGCATTCCAATTCCTCCAATACAAGTCTGTCTTCACCTTCTTCTGACTTTTTTTTTTTTTTTGTTGAGGAAATTCTAAATTACTTTTAATCACAATAAAAATTTAAAATTGTTAGTAGAAAGTCGAGGCAACGAATTAATAGCGTATTATAAACAATAAATTAGCTATCTCTATATTGTTAAAGTCACCCTGGTATTAATAAAAATTATGTTTTGTTAAATATTAGTAGTAATTTTTTTTAATCACAAGTTATGGAAAAATAAATGGAGGAAAGAAAATGAAACGTGTTTTCTCTATATTGTTAAAACGTGTTTTGTAAAAATTATGTTTTCTCCTTATAGGATCAGAAAATATCAGTAACCGATAATTTTAATCTTATTTAATTTTTATTAAATTTAACAGTTAAAAAATTAATCTTATAAAACGGTTGACCGGAGACACTTATGCAAAAGTAAAATGAAAGAAGTTAAAAAGGATGAGTTTTGATTTCTTTAAAAAAGACAGCTGTTTGCCCACGTTGCCTACATTAAATGGTCACGTGCTTTTTCCATTCGTTTTTAATGAATTCTTGATTGTGGAAAGACTATAGGACGGTACAAAATGTTTATAAATTTTATAAAAGATATGTACATACATATATTTATATTTTTTGCTTAAGGCTAATTATTGTGATACATATATTTATATATTTTGCTTAAGGCTAATTATTGTGAATTCTTTTTATAATAATTATGGCGGAGAAAATGCCAATTCAAGTTGCATGAATTGAAAAGGACGTAGCTACATTGATTGAAATTATAAAATATCTCGTTTTCATTTATTAAAAGTTTGTTTTAAATTCTGAAGTTGCAAAATTTTGATTATTGAGATCAAATTATGAGTTTTTAAAATGCACTATAAATTTACAACTTGACAGGCTGTTTCTTATGTGAAAAACATTCAACTACTTATTTGGTCTGAGGATTTAAATCACTCAAGTTTCATATTACAAAAAATTTAAAATCTGGTTTGAACTCAGTTTCCAAACGGATCCTTAATTTTAGAATCAAAATAGAATTCATCCGTAAATTTGGGATCAAAATAGAATTTAATGCAAAAAAGGAAAGAAATTCAGAGTTGAGAGCAAGGAAGCTTCAAAAACATTATCAGCAAAAAAGGAAGCTTCGAAAACTATTATCTTGATGACCCTGTCAAACCAATGCATACAATCCACACTATCTCACCTGACACGACTTTTATAACTTCCGTGTCGACTGTAAAACACATGAATACATTAGTAACGTAGAGAAATAAACAATCTCAAACTACGCGTCAACAGTCAATCCTTAATGGCTAAGAACTAAGAAATAAAAAGACATTATTGTGAGTTCTATTTAAGTCTCTCTCTTTCTCTATAGATCATTTTGGTTCCAACAGAGAAATAATAATAATGGTTTTGCTGAAGATGCACATCCAGAGAGGAGTAAATCTTGCGGTTAGAGACATCGTAACCAGCGACCCTTATGTTGTTCTCAAATTGGGCAACCAGGTTTGTTCGCCATTATAATATATTTTCTTGGGTTTCTGGGTTTTGAATGAAGTTTGGTTGACTTTAAAATCAATTTTGCTTATTTGTTGCTGCAGAAGCTGAAGACTCGGGTGATAAAGGGAAACGTGAATCCTGAGTGGAATCAGAGTTTTAACATTTCTGTTTCTGATTCACATGTTCCGATTCATCTTGTAAGTATTATTTATAGATCCTTGCAACATCTGGAGCTTCTTTCTTTTCATTTAGTTTTTTTTTTTTTTTTTTTTTTTTTTTTTTTTTTTTTTTTTTTTTGTATTTTTTATTTTTGCTGCTTACAAATTGGGAATTGTCATGTTTACTCATAATCTATAACAATATATAGAGATAAAGATGTCAATACCATTCACTAGATTCAATTGAAACGAGGTAATTTTAGTTGAAAATCACCTCTTATAAATAGTATTTTCACTGTTTACTCTTTTTTTTTTTTTCTTTTTTTTGCTTTTGATTTTTCTCCTTTTTTTGTTTTTTTCATCCTGAGAAACTCTTTTATGTTCACGAATTTTTTGTATCAAAATAAGGCCGTTTTGGTCGAAAAAGCGCGGATAGTAACAGTGTCGTTACAATTTTTTTTTTTTTTGAACCTTTCTAAGGTTTTTTTCCCTTTCATTTTAGCCATTTTTTAATCGTTTTTTACTACTTGTCCTAAAACTTAATTTTTTTTAAATTTTATTTTTTTTGAACTTTCATATACTTTTAATAATAACACAATAATTAAAACTTAATATACGATTACTCCCACATGCATAGCACATGTTCTTCAACTAGTATAATAAATAAAGATGAATGTAAGTCTTTCAATTTGTCAGTTTAATGATTAAGCCCGAAAGTTTATTAAGCTATTAGGAGATTGGTTTTTTATATTTTAACACTTATCTTATATTCTAACACTTATATTAGACAATAGGCAATTATGCACACAAATGTTAATTGACAAGTTCAATTGGTGAACATTAAATTATAAACCCAAACCAATTAAAGATCCAATATTTGATGATAAATTTGGGTTGAACTCAAGATCTTATCATGTTTGTATAACAATTCTACCATTAGCTATTTATTGTAAGAGAAGTTGTGGAGTTTATTCTATGGAGAGTACATAAGTGGTTAATATGAAACGAAACGAGTGTGCTAGACATGCGTTCCGTATTGGTATTGATACCAAATCTAGGCTACAGCATTACAGTTTTTATGTGTATTTGCCTGGTTTGGCGACACTTTTCAATTTTATTTTATTTTATTTTATTTTTTGTCTAAAAGTGACAAAAATATTTTAGAATGAATCTCTTAAGCAACATATTCAGAGGACGCTTCATTTCAATTTTACAAATAAAGTGAAAAAAAGGTGCAAAGCAGCAAGTGATGACGATTTTGTTTAACATTATGCAGTGTGTGTATGACAAAGACACATTCAGTTTCGATGACAAGATGGGAGATGCAGACATCGACGTTGCTCCATTTCTTAAAGCCTCAAAGATGCATTTAAAGGGCGTCCCGGATGGCATCACACTTTCAAAAGTGCAACCGACCAAGCAAAACTGCCTCACTGAGGAGAGCTGCATAGTCTGGTCGGGTGGAAGAATTGTGCAGAACATGATTCTCCGACTGCAAAATGTCGAGTGTGGCGAAGTGGAGCTACAGCTGTCGGCCTGATGATCTACGTCTCCAGGGCTTTTAGATTCCAAGCTCTCTCTCCGTTTCTATGTTCATTCATCCTATACACACACATCCCTTTAGTCCCTCTTCTATGATTATTGTGTTGACAATCTTTTGTTTATAAGACTCAGAACTAAGCTTTTATTTATTTTTTCCCCTTCCCAGTTGTGGACCGGGATGTGATTAACAGAGTTGAAATTGTTGACTCAGTGTGATTCTTCAACTGTAGTACTACTGTAATTTGTTGTTATTGTATATTGTATAGCAATCCTATAAAGGCTTTTCTTCTACTTTGTACAAGACTAAAACATTGTGAAGTTCTTGCTTTCCCCAAATTGTCCAGTAAATGAATTGGGGGTTCTGGTTTACTGTTTTGACAGAGTAATAACTTAGACTTGATTGTTTAAAGGTGGAGATCTCATCCCTTTGAGTTTTCCTCTTTGAGACTGTTTTTGTTAAGTTGACAAAAATAATTATATGATTTTCATTTCATTTACCGAATCTGCTTTCAAATGCTTGTATAGGAAGAAAGAGGTATTAGCATTTTAATTACTTGCTTACTAATAGTTTTTGTTTTTTTGCCATTAAAAGGGGGGTCATTTTTCTTCTTATGACTTATAGAACTCATGTTCTGCAGAATGAAAGAAGTTCATAACAAAAGAACAGGTTCGCTGTATTCTTTTGAATGATTATGACAAAAGTTATTCGACTTCATCTATAATTTCCTAAAGGCTTTGATGCTTATCTTCAAAACACAATGAATATAAAGAGGTAAACGACAGTTTTTCAATTTTTCATTTTAAAAGTAGATCCAATAACGTTAATTCTAATTTTCCTAACTTGGTACTGAAAGCACGCCAAATGTTATAATTCTAACACATTTTCAAGTCCTCATTTTCCATTTAAATTTAATCGAGTGACACCTCATTATAAACTATAGTTAAGCTTCACCAACTTATATTTTGTTCGTTTCGTGCTTTTATTAGATTGATTATATATCGGTTGGCGTCCATGGAATTATTTATAGGTAACCCTGACATCTATAGTTGCATAGATTCCGAGAAATGATACGTATTGATATTTTGTTGGATAATATATGTATTATCGTGACATCATTAGCAGACAAAAAAAAAAAAGATTATAAAAACATGCTTCACGAATACTGTGAACTTACTATATGGAATGGTAAGTACTGTGAACGTTCACCCAAAAAAAAAAAAAAAACTGTGAACTTACTATACACACGCAAATGATAATTATTCTAAAAAATGCTTAATTCTAACACTACTGTTAAGCACTATAACTAATAGAATGTGTTAGAAAAATGGTTTGTTAAGCCATTTTAAAGGCCCATTTTGAGGCCCATATTCGGATGAGGCCCAAAGGTGCGAATCACGATCCCGGCGGGTTGGGGCCTAATGTGTGCGCCTGCGGACACGAATGCCGGATCGGAAAACTCGCTTTCTGCGAGTTTTCAACTAAAATTTGAATCCGAAATTGCTGCATTAGTGGATGTTTAAGTCTGCATTAGTGAAGGGTTTGGAAACTGCAGCAATAACCATTGATTTGACATTAAACCTCCGAATTTAGACTGTTTATGAGCAGATACATCTAGAAATTTCAGAGGTTGTAACCTCAGAATTGAAGCTCCATCAAACCGTGAATAAATTGCTTTTATTCACCTTCATTACAACATTGTAACATCCCTCACGGGCAGGCTATATAAAGGGACCTCCCCAGCCTTGAAAAAATACACCTCCACAGAGCATTCTCATCTATTTCTCTCGTTTCTTGTGTTTTTCCGAAATTCCTTGTGTAGTTCTTGTTGTTCCGTTTTTGGTGATAGAGGTAAGTTTTAGTTCTTATTCGCCGGACGGTTCCGATAGTGCATCGAACTACTGTCGTTATCGTTGTATCCTGCGAGACGGACGTCCTACGTTGCCTCAAGCACTCACTGGAGGGGACGAATCTGTTTTAAGAAAAACGTGGTTCACGTGCCTTGACATCCTTACAACTTTCATTTCTGAGTTTTGGTAAAAAGGTTGAATTACAATTGTATGAATTTCAGTTTTGTTCTTCCTTACCTTGTTCCTCTTTTTGTATTATCCACTATTTCGGCTAATAGAATGTATATATATAATTAAGAATAGTAATTCATGAACTGTCAGAGGATCTAAAGAACTTCTACTAATTTTCAACAAATCAACAATAATATCGAACGAAAGATTTTCCCAACTAATAAAGGACTTGGCAAATTTCCACAGTAGTAAAATTAAAATCTCCATCAATTCCGCTTTAAAAGCATGAGAAATTCCTAAAGGGCAAGCAAATTAGTATTTTTTACGATACCCGCAATAACTCCATATATATACATGTGTGTGTGTGTGTGTGTATATATATATATATATATATATATATATATATATATCCAAATAGTGCAGCAAGTTTAGTTCTAATTAAAAACCTAAAAAACAACACAACGAGTCAGGAGTTAAAATTAAAAAACCCTGAGGCTATAGCCATGGTATTATATTTATATATGAAGACTAATCTAAATTATTGGCCGAATCTCTTTGACTACGTTCATGTATTTCTGTGACCTTTTTGTGTAGGTGCTGACTGACTTGGGCGGTTGGTTTAGACAAAATTGAAGGCTCAAATGAAAGTCAAACTTGAAGCTGAAATGGATCACTTCGCATAGGGGACCAAATATCAACTGACTCAGTCAATAAATTCCCCACCATCCACGACATACGCTGTTACGCGTGTTCCCTTCCTTGCTCATTCAGCTCCCCAATCTAATAATAATATATACTACTAGTAACAATGAGATCATTACTATATGATTCACCAAATTTTAGTTCCAAAAGAATTTATTTTTCTAACATAAGTTAGAGTGCAATTTCCTTTTTTTTTTAAAAAAAAAAAATATCAGTGCTAAGATACCATCTTTTTATTAGAAATATTGTGCACCAATTATTTTGGTGCTAAAGTATTAGTTGAAACTTGAACGCAATATTGATTGGTCAAATGATAGTTTATAACAATTAGCCAAAAAAAAAAAAAAGAGTTTATAACAGCAAAATATTTTATTATCATAAGTTGGCATAAAATATATATATATACCAAAAATTAATTATTTTTATAGTATGTTACTGGTTTCAACTTAATGAAAATCACATTTAAAAAAAAATGTGTTCAATAAATTGTCAATTTACACACAGTATTCAGTTTCTAATGTTACTTGTTAAAGTTAATTCGTACCTCAGTTTTAATGACTGTCAATATAAAAAGGATTAAATAAGAAAAGAAACCCACATCAAAGGCAATAATAGAATGATCCTCTCTCCCTTGTCTCTTCATTTTTCTCACCTCAATTCATCTTTCTTTTTCACTTAGCAAACCAAAGCCTAAAAGAATCGTTGCCGTTAATTTAATTAATCAACGAGTCATTGTCTCATCATAAAATCGTTAGACTAAATTAATTGAATTTTTGTTGTTGCTGAAATTGATAAATGATAAGAAAAAGACAGGGCGTTTGGTGTATATAAATTGGCAGTTGAAATTACAACTTTGCATCCAAAAGTTATTGGCCGCCTTCGTCTTTCAACTTCACCATCACAACCCTGTCCCGTCCTTTCTTTCTTTGCAAAAAAAACGAACAGCTTTTTTTCTTTCAATCTCTCTCTCCTCATCATTTTCTCTCTCTTTTCTTCTTTCTTCTTCAAAAAAGAAAAATGGAACTTCTCATGGGACTTCTGAGAATTCATGTCAACAGAGGAGTCAACCTCGCTATTAGAGATGTTGTAAGCAGTGATCCTTACGTTGTCATCAAAATGGGCAAGCAGGTAATTTTAGTTTTGTCTTTTTGATCCAATTCTCTTCTGGGTTTCTGGGGTTTTGATGTTTTAGTCTTGGGTTTTATGTGGATTTTGGGATGCTTTGTGTTTTGACTTGTTGATCAATCTCTGTTTTAGTCTACTCTGTCACTCAGGATATAAGACTTTCCAGTTTTCATATTCTTAACGGATGCAATTCAAAAAAAATTAAAAATTAAAAATCTCGACTGTTAGGATCAACCCTTTAATTGTGTAGAGAAAACGTTTTGTGTTTTTTTTTTTTTTTTGGGTTAAATTCCGTTACTGTGTTTTACTGGAGTTTTTCTTCTTTCTTTGGATAAATAATAAATTATTGTACTTGGAGCTAAATAGTCTCTTAACGCCTTTACAGATTGGGAAACTTCTAGGGTTTTATTTATTTATTTTTGTTCCAGAATATTCTGTTTCTCTTTGGTAACTAGTATCCACAAACTAGTTCTAGACAAAATCAGATAGCTATAGGTAATTGTTTTTTTTTCTTTGTTTTACTTTTTAATTTCCATCTTAAGGATTCAAGAATTTAACATCTTTAATTGCTACTTTCTTGTGGTGATGTACTAATGTTCATTCCTTGTTCTTTTTAAAAAATTTGCTTATTATGGTCTATTTTTCTCAAATATAATCATGCAGAAATTGAAGACACGAGTGGTAAATAAATGCGTGAATCCCGAGTGGAATGAGGATTTGACACTCTCAATTGCAGATCCAACACTTCCAATTCATCTTGTAAGCCCTCCAATCTACATTTTTTTTCTCACAAAAAGAAGAGAAAAATTTCTATTTTATCTAGGTACGAAAAAAAATTTACCACTAGGATATAATTCTAAACCATCATTTAGGATATTCGGTTGCATGAGAATTAAAAAAAAAAAAAGGGATCCACAATTTTTCCTTCCCTTTTCTCACCCCCTCTTTTTGACCCCATTTGCTAATAACAGTATACAAAATGGTCTTTCTATTTTGCAGTTGGTGTATGACAAGGACACATTTTCCCTTGATGACAAAATGGGAGACGCCGAGTTTGAAATTGGGCCATTCATAGAGGCCCTAAAGATGCGTTTGGCAGGACTGCCAAGTGGAACAATTATCACGAAAGTCCATCCAAGTAGACAAAACTGCCTCGCTGAAGAGAGTCGCATTCTATGGACTGATGGCAAATTGGTCCAAAACCTCTGTCTCCGACTCAGAAATGTTGAGAGTGGTGAAATTGAACTTCAATTGGAGTGGATTGACATTCCTGGTTCAAGGGGTCTGTGAAAACCAAACAAAAATTAAAAAACTAAAAAATCCCCCAAGTTTCTGTTTCTGTCAAATTTCTCTACAGAAATAAGTTTTTAAGCATCACAACCATTTTGGACAATCAATAGGAGTTTACGCCTATACAAACATATATATATATATATATGTGTGTGTGTGTGTGTGTGTGTATCCTGATAGTCCAATCCAGTTTTATGCTTTGTATGGTGTATTAGGTATTGAGTAACCAATAGTGTGGAAATAAGTCTTTTGTCTTTTGTCTTTTTTTTTTTTTTTTTTTTCAGATAATTAGTAGTTTGTTGCTTTCATTTTTAGTTTCTTCGTCTGTAGCGGAAGTTTCGTCTTTAATGGCTTTGTAATTAAATCATGCAGAATGTATAAATCTTCTTCGCTTTATATGGAATATGAAATCTGCATTATGAGTTTGAGTTAAGTTATTTTACTTTGTTTATATGGTTTAAGATTGGTTCTCTCCAATGTAATCTCATATACATACAATAAATGTAAATGAGAGTCTTAACTAATTTTGGAATCTCATCAAGTATCATATTCTTCATTTTATGAATTTTTATCCAACACACACGTGTGTATGATATACCACACTAAAGTTGCATACTAATTAGATCTCTTTCTTTCTTTTCTTCTTCTTCTTTTTTATTTTTATTTTTATTTTTATAATCGTACCACAATCCTTTTGCTAATCGTACTACAATTTTAGTGAAGGCGAAATCCAATTTGAATCATTAGATTTTACCAACTCAGTTAAGCTAACACTAAAACTATTCTAATTAGAAAAACATACAACAAATTTAGCTTCAGTATGTCTTTAATAATCCCCTGCCTCTTTTTCTCGATAGAAAAAAGAAATCCCTCTAACAATCCCCTGCCTCATTTTGTAAACCACTCAAACTTTACCTTGTTCGTTACGTTGGAGAAAATTACTTTTAACTTACCCTTAACATGCATGAATTTAAATTTTTATTCATTATTCTTAGTTATACCCTTTTAGTTAATATAACTATTTGATTAAAAAAGGTATTAATTAAAAATAAAATGTAAAAATCTAGACTCGTGTACTCTAATAAATATTTATCTCATTTCTCTGTTACTTTAAGTGTCAGTTTGACATCGGTGTGCTATATTTTTTTTTGGTTGTAGCTGTGAAGCATGTAAGTTTTTAGTTAATGTTTCTTCAAAGCTATTGTGAATAGTAGAAGCATGTAATTTATTTATTTTTTTCACTTCTCTTCTTATTTGGTCATTTCCAGTTCACTTCGTCGGTCATGTTGATAATACTCGTCATGGTCATGGTCATGTTGATGTTGATAATAGATCATATTGAATGGAATGTACGTACTGGTACATGTACTTACTACTTAGTAAGATGTTTTTTTTTTTCCCTCTTACTTTGACTTGATCATGATCTATTGATCTATCGTTTCATAGTTTAGATGTCTATAAATGCCACTCTAAATGTTACTTAATTGGCTGGGTAAATTTAATCATATTTAACTGGTCTGGGATGATTTTAAAGTTGTAATATCAATTCAGTTGATGATGCAGTGTATTGCTGATAATCTGTCACATTAATTTTTCATCTTTTGCTTGCTATAATTATATTACTTCGATATCTTGGTGGGATCACCCCTAATTTATATTTATATGGATCGAATGCATAGGAATCTAGCCAGGTGATTTAATTTCCATAAATCTCTTCAAGTAAAGTTTGATGATGCAGTGTATTGCTAATGCTTACTTTTCTTTTTTTTTTTTTTTTTTCTCTTCCTCAAGATTGATGAATGGCTGGAATATGCTCCTGTCCTGTCATCAAGTTCTGCATTTGAGAATGCATGCAAATATGTCGACGAATATTTATTAGGAGGGCATACATTTTTGGTCGGTCATAATTTATCAATTGCAGATGTAGCAATCTGGCCGGGTCTTGCAGGTATAAAATTAGAATTTCTAAGTGTAAAATGTAAATTGTTAACTGTTTATTACCTTGCGAATGAACGATGTGTAAAATATAAAATGTAAAATGTAAATTTCTAAGAGGTTCAAGGTGTCAATCAATCCACAAAGAGTGTATGTAAATTGAGATGTTTCTAAATCGGGGGGCAGCAAATCTTCATCTGAAGTAGATCTTCCTGATGCCGAGATTGGAAAAGTGCTATTACGATTTGCTCCAGAGCCCAGTGGTTATCTTCACATTGGGCACTTAAAAGCAGCACTGTTGAAACAATATTTCGCTCAGCGGTATCAAGGACAAGTTATCGTGCGTTTTGATGACACAAATCCTGCAAAAGAAAGCAATGAGTTTGTGGAAAATCTTCTGAAGGATATCGAGGCTTTGGGCATCAAGTATGAGACTGTTATGTATACTTCAGATTATTTCCCTCAGCTGATAGAAATGGCTGAAAACTTGATTCGCCAGGGTAAAGCATATGTTGACGACACCCCACGTGAGGAAATGCAGAAAGAAAGAATGGATGGCATTGAATCAAAATGTAGAAACAACAGCGTGGAGGAGAATCTGAAATTGTGGAAGGAATTGATTGCAGGATCTGAAAGGGGTCTGCAGTGTTGTGTCCGGGGGAAGTTGGATATGCAGGAACCCAACAAATCGCTTAGAGATCCGGTTATTACCGTTGCAACCCAATTCCTCATCATAGGATTGGGTCCAAGTACAAGATATACCCAACCTATGACTTTGCATGTCCTTTTGTTGATGCTTCAGAGGGTATAACTCATGCTCTTCGATCTAGCGAGTACCACGATCGCAATGTGCAGTATTATCGGATTCAAGTGGACATGGGTATAAGGAAGGTTCATATATATGAATTTAGTCGGCTGAATATGGTTTATACAGTTCTCAGCAAGCGTAAGCTTCTATGGTTCGTCCAGAATGGAAGGGTTGATGGGTGGGGTGATCCTCACTTTCCAACCGTTTAAGGGATTGTGCGTAGAGGTCTGAAAATTGAAGCATTGATCCAGTTTATTCTCGAGCAGGCAAGATGATTCAGTTCATCTCGCTAGTGGAGTTTGATTATTTAATCACAAAGAAGAAGGTATGTGTGAATCAATCAATAATTACCGTACGCCTCTATTTCCTTGAAGTGTGTAACTGCGTTGCGTTCCCTTTTGTTGCTTAGCCTAGCCAGGGTGAGTCTGTTGAACCACTACTCAAGTTTTGTTGTCTTTGACTTGTCATTGCAGCTTGAAGAAGGAGAGGATTTCCTTGATGTTCTTAATCCGTGTACTAAAAAAAGAGACTTCAGATGAAAGGATGCTTCAGATGTGGTGTGCCTTAGTACTCTAGGCCTTCAAAACCTCTACTTCTGTTTGCAATCCCAGATGGCAGGCAGCAGACCTCTCTCAAGTAAAAATCATCACATTCACATTCACTACAAGGAAATTGTTGATTTTGTTGTTGACCTAATATTAGTCTAAACCTTTGTATTTTTAATGGAACAAGAGGAGTTCAAAAAATTCGAAATCTTAATTGCCCATTTGATAATTTGGTCACTTACTTACTACGTTTGATGCTTTTCTTCTGTTTTGCTTTGCTGTCTCTAAATGGAGAATTGGAGATTAATGTTTTCATCTGAGCCGGTAGTCTCTTTTTTCATAATTAAGCAGGATCCCCCTTCTTTTTATTCTAAGAGTTAAAATATCGATATTGATGCAAATGACTTTATTAGTCCATTACTTTTTGTATGTCTCAAACTCCATTCCTAATCTATCAACTTATTTCGGTTTTAGTACTTTTCATCAGTTGGGTATAAAAAAGGGATAAAATATCGGCGATATTCAATTAGAAGAGTGTTAATTTACATTTTTGCTTTAGAATCACGTGCATATTCCGTGTTCTATATTTACTATTAGTATCATGTGCATCCTGTTTTTAACACCTAACTGATAAAAAGGACTAAAACCTAAACAAGTTGATAGATCATGGATGGAGTTCGAGACATTTTAAAAGGGATGGACTGAAGTGGAATTGACAACATAGATTCAGGACCATTTTTAAGATTAACCCAAGATCTTAAAAATGTAAAATAATGGAGACTTGTTTTTGTTTTGGAAGCTTGATTTTAATTAGGCTAGGAAATAACAAATTTTATAACAAAAAACACAGGGAACAGTCAAGTTTTATATTTTTACGTGAGTAAATAGTTTATTTATGTGGTTGCAAGCATAATTTAAGAATAGAATCCAAATGGAAGCGCTAAATTTTCATTGATATATAAGTGCAAATATATACGAAATGTATTTGAGCTTAATTAATTATGAAATTTACGAAATGATAATTATTTTAATAATAATAATAAATTATTAATATATATATAATTATAATACTATATATATTTTATAAATTTACAGTTCAAAAATTTGAACTCATAAATAACTAAACATTTTGAAAATAACTCGCTCTGCCACTAACCCCAATTAAGCTACATGCAGGCCCATACCATGGCTCCGCTTTCGGTGATTATGCTGAAATCCCTTGAATTTACTAATCATTTACCAATATATGATCTTATTATTTATGAATTAATTATTCATAAACTATTATTAATTATTTCCTGTACTCGAAATATATTTTAAGAAACATAATTAAACAGAGCTTTATTATTTCTCTTGTACTCTAAATAAATTTTCTAAGTTGAGAGTTTGAGTCATTCACCTTAAATCCGACTTAAAAATGGTTGCATTCCTCCCACCTCATGTTGAGTTGTTTATTCTACCTTGTGCTTAATGCTTCTAATTAATTGATCACTAATTAGATTGATGTGGTAACCTTAATGAACTTGGAAAAGGGATTTTTGTGTTTAGCCTTAGATAGAATGACACATGATTAAGATATGGAAGCCTTAAGCTTATGTAGGATAGGAATATACCTACGTAACATGTGTAGCCAATAAGAGGGGCCTATGCTTAATGAACCTTTCTTAATCTAATTCTCATAGGAATATAGTGAGTTAGGGTAAGGGGGGTATTTCTACTTGACATCGGAAGATTCTTTAATTTACATTTTGCTCTCTGTGAACTCATTATTTTCTTTTACTTATTATTCTATTTTATTGTTTAAATAAAGTTGAGGTGGTCTAATTTAATATTTAACGATTGTAGTAATAATTCTCCGTGGGAGCGATACTTTATCTCATATTATATTACTTGTTATCGATACGTGCACTTGCGTTATAAAATTATCAACAAGTTTTTGGTCCCACCTCATATATCAAAACAATAATAATAATAATAATAATAATAATAATAATAATAATAATAATCTTTCTAAGAAGAACAATCAAACACAATCTTATGTTATAAATGGTGTTAAAATATAAAATTATTGTTGGTCCACCTCCTAACAGCTTAAACTTTTTAGATAGATTGATAAACTAACAAATAGTATCAACGTCATTCTCAAAAAATTCTACTTTCGTTTCAGATTCAATCTAATAAATGATAGAATCTAGTGGTAATTTTATTTTTAAATCCATCACATTATGTATAGTTCAAAACTTCGAATACTTAATTCTAATTCAAAAAGGAAAAAAAAAAAGAGAAAAAAGAAAATGACATTTGTTTTTATTTTTCTTTTTGTTTTTCTGTTTGCTTTTCTTTTCTTTTTTAGAACACGAGTTAAAGTCACATGCTTCGCACGTGTATATTTAGTGTGTTGAGTGTTTTGGTACGTATGTGTTAAATTTTAAAGGTGTCACATCAGTCTAAGTATTATAAAGTAGTGATTTTATTTTTTAAATAAAGTGGCTAACTGTGTGAATTTGTGCGCGTGTTTACTAAAATTCAAATTTTGGTGATTTTATTTTTTAAATAAAGTGAGAATTATAGGCCCACGCCATAAAAAAAATAAAAAGTTACTTATGTGAGGGTATTTCAGGAAAACTAATCAGAAAACACGTAAATTTAGAGTCCAAGCTCAGCTCTTCCTTGTTGCACGTCACCGGAGGCGGAGAGGAGTCGAGATCGCCGTCGCCGTCGCCGTCGCCGTCGCCGTCGCCGTGGTACTGATCCGGCGTGTTCCGCGACGACATCTTAAGCTGTATGTTTCTCTTTCCTATACGTATTTCTCACTTTCATCTTCTTTGATTTCACAAATGAATTTATGAAATGTCTTTCGGATCCACTCCCAATATTTCAATTTTGTGACAAATGATTCTGATTTCTTCTGATCAATTTCATAGTTCAGTTTTTAGTTCAAATCTGAGTTGTTGTGTTTCTTTATTAGTTCCTCAATTCTGCAATTCTAGTTGATCGTTTTTAGGTTTACAAAACCGCAATTCGAGTTTGATATCTGATTTTACTTGATGTTAGAATAGGTTTGGATGATTTATAAGGACTTAAAGAGGATTTTTGATGCACTCTAGGTGTTTGATAAAAAGCGTAAGTGAGAATTTCAGTGGATGTGAGTGTAATTCGAAGGCCCTCAATCTCTCTTGCTTGAGCAATGAAGCGCAAGAAATGGTCTGAGCAGGAAGAGCAAACGTTGCTCACCAAGTACTCGGAGCTCCTAAACTCGGGTGCTCTTGCGAAGCTGAAAACCCGGGAGAAGAAGTTCAAGCCCATCGCTGACCATGTAAATGCCGCCCACCATGTCTCTGATCCCGTTGCCTTCCCCTTCCAGTGGTCCTGGCGTGACGTCTCCATAAAGGTCCAGAACATGCGCCACCAGTATCTTGGTGTCAAGCAGAAGATTAGAATCTCTGATGATGAGTTCAATTGGAAGGATGGCGAGAACCACTGGGAGAATTTCTTGAAGTACAAGGAAGTCTTCGGTGACGTGGAGTTGGAATCCAAGGGAAAGAGGTTGTTGTGTGAAAATGTGGATGTTTTTGGGTACTGTGGGGACTTGGGGGTTGAGATTGATTGTGAGGATTCAGAGGAAGAAGAAGGAGAAGAGGAAGAAGAAGAGGAAGAGGAATTGGAGGAAGAAGATGGTGATGGTGATGGTGGTAGCATTAATACTGACATCGGTGAGGTTGGAGAGGAAATTAAGGAAAGTGATGGTGAACTTGGCGATTTAGGGTTTGGAATGACGGGGAAATCGAAGAAGAATAAGAAGAAGGGTTTGGGAGTGATGAGGAGGTTGGGGTTGGTTGGCGCAGGGGTTTTGGAGCTTAGGGATGTGATGATGAAGAGGGAGGAGAGGAGGAGAGAGAGGGAGTTCAGGAGAGAGAAAGGGGAGGAGAAGAGGGAAGAAGGGGAGTTTAGGAAGGAGAAGAGGAGGATTGAGCAGGAAGATTGGTTGGACAATAGGGAATTTGAGTTGGAAGAGAGGCATTCGAGGTGGGCAAAGAGGGAATTCGAGAGGAGGGTGAGATTGGAGCGAGAATTTGCGGAGGAGAGGCGGCGGAGGATGAGGGTGGAGGAGAAGAGGGAGGAGGAAGAGATGGAATGGAGGGAGAGGATGGTGGGTTTGCAGATTGAGCACGAGAAGCAAATGATGCAAATGCAGGCTGAGGCATGCCAGAACCAAATACAAGTCCTGGGGATGATGGCCAGGTTTGTTTGTCAGTTTTTTGGGTCGGCAAATGATGGGTTGGGAGGCGGTCTAGGCTCTTTGCCACCACAAATACTGCAGAATTTACAGCATCCGGGGGAATTGGGAGACAACGGAAAGCCTGATGCCAATTCGCCGTCTGAGTTCATATAGACTGTTACATAAATTAAATTCCTCATACATAAGATATTAAGTGTTAAATTAGTTGTTTTGTTTTTTAACTTTTATCTTATAATGGCATCTGTATAGTTTGTCAAATATTGATTCGAGGAATGTGTGACTTGACACCTCCACTTGCAGGGTCAATGTTCTCATTCTTTAATTATTTAGATGCCTATTATATTATTTAGAATGACATATTCTTCTCAATTCGGTTGCTTTAATTTTTGTTCTCTGTTTAATGGGTTTAACCAGAATGCTCAACATAGCATATCGGTCATTCGTTGTACGGCCAGAAAGGAGGATGAAAAAAATCTGCATCATTCAAAGTTTCTTTGTTGTCGTTATGCTTCTTAGCCTGCTATTGTTTCTTATAACAGTTTCATTTGACATTAAAATGAAGCTTTACCAGCTGACGATGAAAAATTACAAAATTGTTGTAGTGTGAAATTGAAGTGTAAAGATAAATGGGAAATTAAAAAGAAGGCTATTAAGTGGAAGAACATAACAATGCTTGCTTTTCTTTCTGGTCATTCTCTCTCCTCCATGTTTCTACTAGAATTTATTTTAGGATGGTTTTTGGAGATCCAGTTGAACGATCCTTGTATTCTTTGTTGTCCCTGTTTGTTTTCTTAACTTTTATAAACATTGTGTTTTTTAATTATTTCAAACAACTCCCGAGACCTGATCATCCATGGAAGATGAAAAAGCTAAATATCATGGTTAAAAAGGTATGAAAAGGTACTCTTTTGAGTCTCCATCATGTACTCCATATCATGTTTTAGTCGTTCTTCAGTACGAAATAAACTATCAAATATTTGGTTATAGTTTGGCATGTGTGCAACATAGAAAATCAAATTTTAATAAACTGTACTAGAGAGAACCTGCAACAAAAATATATTTGAAATTGGTTCACGGGTTTACATGGTTTGAACCTATGAACAATGTTCAAATCAGTGTTTGTTTCTAAAAAGTAAAAAGTGGTATGAATTCTTAATGACGTTTAAACCATTCAAAACCAACAATTTCTAAACTCAACCTGCCCCTCAAGTTTTCAAGGTTCGAACCCAAGGTCTAAACCACACTTTTCAAATCCACATGTTTTAAAACAAAAAGGCTCAAACCACACAGTTTTGAACCGTCGAATCAAACCATAGGCAAAGGCTTAAATCACCCTTAAGATGTTTTTGCTCTGAACCACCCTTAAGGTTTAAACCGTGCTATCTGGTCTTGTAGGTGTGGAGTTGACTTTGCGGAGATTTAGGCTTACGAGAGGAGAAGGCATGCGGGTGAGGGAAGAGCGCCGTTGAAATTGCCGGCTTTGGGGGGCGTAGATTGTAGTTTTGTGAGTGTAGAGGCAGAGGCTAGGTTTCACTTGAGGGTGGTTGTGATGGTGAACTATGGCAGTGGAGATGACGGATCTCATTCCTTCACGTTCACGATATAGTTAACACTGTACCTATCTCAATTCACTTTTTAGTTTCATTAATTTTGAAATTCATGATTCAATTTCTTATTATTTATGGACAACAGGCAACTCTGTCTTCAAGTTTCTGCATGAAGGCCTTTCACATTGCAGATCACCAGCTAAAGACAGCTTTAAGATGTTATAACAGTTCATTAGCTTAAGTTTTTCTTTCTCTGTCCTCTTTTGCTACTGCTTCTGACAAGAACAGGGTAGAATTCTTTCATAAATTTGATATTTAAAAACCATATTTCATATTTGTTTCATGTTTTAAACCTTGATCAAGGACTTTGGTCCTTTTAATGTCCTTGGGGATCTAGTTTTGGTGGCTTTTAGCATCAAAGTTCAAGCCGTTGTACATTCTCAATTATTATACAATTATGGTGTGTTTGCTTGCACTGAAAAAATGGTAGTAGGAATATAAATGAGAATGATAATGGTATAAAATGGAAAGAAAAGATGATTCATTTGTTTAGTTTTACTTTTACAAATACAATAGAATGAGATATGAATATTTTCATGCTTACAAAATTACCCCTCATATTAATATAACTAATATAATATATATTAATATAATCATTTAATAACTAATATTATATATATAAAATTACAAGGATATAATATATATAATTATTTATTATTATAATACAATCATAATATAATATAAAAAGATATATAATATAATAAAATAATGATATTGTGATTATTTTATATTATAATGTTACAACTATACTATATTATATTATTAGAAATATAGTATAATTATAAAATGTAATAATACAATATAATATAACATATTATAATTATAATATATAATATAGTATATTATATGTTGGGGAGACCACATGTGAAACTGGCTCAACACACTTCAAGAACCTAACTTAACCCAAAAAATTAACCTATTAGGTATGGTCCTTCCATGTATATAAACCATTTCACATTCTCATTCACTTTTCATGTGGGACAACACACACATGCATTTTGCTCAACAATCTTTCCCTCATGTGTGTGTTCACCGAGCTCCCTCTCGAATTAAAGTTTCAAATAGCCGGCACATCTAAGCATCACACTCCAAACGAGAGCCAACTCAAGCATGGGAAAGATAGTCGAAACCATGCGAGTCCACCAGATGCTTTACAATCCGCGCACCTGTGGGAACACCAACTCTCCACGGGAGGCAATGTGAGAACTGCAACTGAGTGTGATTGCTTGACCCATACGAACCATCGGCTCTGATACCACTTATTGGGGAGACACTACATGTGAAATTGACCCAACAAACTTCAAGAACCTAACTTGACCCAAAAGGTTAAATATATACCGTTGGGTTAGTGTCGATAATGTAGACAGCCGTTGATTTGGGCTCATGAGTGATGGAATGTTAAAAACCACCATGTCGAGTATGAGATCAGACGTAGTATGGAGTGCAGTTCTATAATTGTTGCCTACAGATGGAGCGACTTAGAGAGGGCTACTACCTGATAAAAGGTAGGACCTTTGAAATCACCTAGCTGGGAAGATGGGCCGTCGTGGACAACAATTACGGAGCGTGATTGAATGTTAGATACCAAAAATCTCACATAGAATGATTAAATGATCATAATAAATAGTGAGTTTATAAGCCTTTTAAGTTCCAAGCCCCTTTTACAAGGGTGAGTTCTACTTAATGAGTTTATAACACATTCTTGTTAGGGTACTTCACCTCTCAATCCTCTTCTTCAAGTGCTAAAAAATTGCCTACTTCTACAATTTAATCAACGAAAATAAACTTTGCTAAATACTCTGAATATAACACAAAAATATAAAATAAAAACAAAATTGAGCCGGTTTTGAAAAACAAAATATCAAATAGTATTATATTAGGCATCCCAAACTCTTAATCTCAAACATAGACTAATAGTAGTTAAAAACAAAGCAACTAGAAAGAATTAAGGATAGACATTCATTAGTGGTTATGCTCATTGGTGGGATAGACATTCATTAGTGGTTATGCTCATTGGTAATTTCCGCCCTGTTAAAACCAGCTTCATGACCCGCATCGTGTAACGTGATTGTCTTAACTGCAGGACAAAATTGTCCACTGCAGCAGTACCTAATTCTGTCATAAAAGTTATATAAACATATAAGAACCATGTGATAAGTATAAAATAAAACAAAAACCAAATCCTGTCAAAAAAAAAAAAAATATATATATATATATATATAATGAGACATATGGTAAAAGTAGAACCAAATCCTGTCATAAATATATATATATATATATGGTTAATGAGACGTATGGCATAAGTAGAAGTAAAATATGCTTGTTTGTAGTTTGTGAATATTTATATATATGGCTTAATGTAGCGGTATGATGAGATTATTAACCTTGATAATGATATTATATATATATATATAATGAGACATAGGAAAAATAGAACCAAATCCTGTCATAAATATATATATATATATATGGTTAATGAGACGTATGGCATAAGTAGAAGTAAAATATGCTTGTTTGTAGTTTGTGAATATTTATATATATGGCTTAATGTAGCGGTATGATGAGATTATTAACCTTGATAATGATATTAACATTTTCAATATATTATATACATATATATTTGCTAGAAATAAATAAGTTTCTTCATCGATAATCTGAACAAAAAGGTAAAGAACAATGGTCAAATTACCAATCTGAACGTGATTCAGATATTAAATTAATAAGCAGCAGAGGAATATATTTAATACTCGAAACTAAAACAGAACTACACATAAATGCCAAAAATCCAGACTATATATGTATTCTTCTTCAATTCCTTGAAGGAAATTGCAGATAGAAAACGATCAATCCAGCAAATCGGCCACAAGCCATCTGGGCAAAACCAGTAAACAGAAACAAAACCAAAGAGAAAGGAAAAAACGGAAAAGTAGAGGGATACTTAGCGTTCTTTAAATAAGCTAGTATTTAACGTTTTTATTCTCTAACAATAATGAATTTTAAGAAATGATGTGGATATTGTACACCAATATTTGAGGGGTACTTTAACGTTCTTCAAATAAATGAAATCCCCAAAAGAATGGCTAAACTATCATTCAAAAGCACGATAAATTTTTTCCCATCATAAATTAAAAATCTATTTTCCCATTCCCTTAAGACTCGTCAAAATTACATTAAAATTCTGAAAAATGACAATGTAATTAAAATGCCGGCAATATAATTATGAACATAATAGCGTTAAACAATTACCTGTCACTAAAATACAAGTAACAGAATTATTGAACTGATAAGAATTTACGTGTGCATAAATGTGAAATAAACATGAACAAACGTTAAATAGCAATAAAATTGCGCTAGTTCATTAAAATAAAACATTACAACTATAAGAATATATACATGATAACATTATAAAAGCCAAAGCAAAAGAAAATTAGAACACAACGAATGGAAAAGATTCAAAAATTCGTCATTAACAACGTGATAAACTTAGGGTTTTAAAGATTCTAAATATTAAGTGCGCATGTTTATTTACTTTAAAAAATTCAACTAAGAACCATCTGATAAATATAAAAGAAATAAAAAATATTAAATATAAGAAAATTACCTTGTGACTGAACCAAAAGCATCTGTAGACGTGTTTTGACATACCCATCGAATCTGATCGTCCAAAGTATCCGGCGGCGGTGGGGCAACGTGGCCCGGCGGTGGAGGCGGCAGAGGGTGGGAGCTCGGCAAGCCCTTGTTGGGGAGAGACGAATTGTGTTCGGAGGACATTTTCTAGTGAGGGAGTGTCGATGAGAGCGAACAAAAATTTTCTTAGTTGACTCGGGAGAAAAAAAAAACCCCCCTATTTTTACTTGTGAACGAATGAGGCCATTTGTTTTATA